GGGGGGCTCTCCGGCCGCCTCCACAGGATGCAATCCCAGGGAATGGGGGCTCCCCTGCTGCGTCTGCAGGATGCAGTCTCAGGGAACGGGGGCTCTCCGGCCACCTCTGGCCCCACGTGCGCCCCAGGGCAAGGACTGAGCGATGCAGAAGCTCAGGGCTTGTAAGGGCTACTATTGTGCAACCCCTTCTGGTTTGTCTTTTCTTGGGAGGTTGAATCCCATTTGTTTCCCTGCCCTCGTAATGTAAGGATGAATTTTATATTTTCTTCGCAACTGCATCTTCCCTTGCTTGGTGACTCTTCTGGGCACCTTGCTATTAGCCGACTGCTTATAGCCCCTGTAGGGCAGGAAGGGATTTCTGGGAGTCATCCAATTCACCTGCCTTGTCAAGGCAAGACCAACTTTGCTGCTATTAGATGTTTGTCCAACCCATTTTTAATCATCTCCAGTGCTTACAATTTCACAACCTTCCTGGGCGATTTATTCCTTTTCCATGTTTACTTCTATCCACTTCCTTTGATTTATTTTCTTGGTTTCTTCCAACTCGGAGATGGATACAGGGATGCTGTCTTTGGTCTCCGTTTCTTGCKCTGAGTCTCTTGATTAATCTTTGTCTGCAAATATTTAAGCTTTCAGGCAAGTCATCAAAGTCATCTCTCAAACCTTGTTTTGAAGACAGGATCTAGCTCTTAAATGTTGCCTTTCTTTCTGGTCAGATGCAGATAGAAAAGTGCCCAGTGCTAAATTGCTAAATAGTGCCCAGACCATTGTAGCCTCCTCCTTTGATGTCTGTGGCTAGAGATCTTAGTGATTTTATAAGTATCAAATGGAAAAAGCAAAAAAAAAAAAAAAGAAAACAAAAACCCACTTTGCATACTCAAAGAAGGAGCAAACAAATAATTGCCATGTACATCACAACACACCCAAATTATAGACCATGTTTTCATTCTTTTTTTTAACCTATACTTTTATTTTCAGTGATTTGGCTTAGTATGCTCWTATTGTCATGTGAATTAATTTCTTAGCTAGTTATGTGGCAGGAGGGAGGAAGTGGGCAGTAGGTTTAAATGAGAAACATAACTCTGAGGAACGGGGCTGCCACAGTGCCCTTTCCAAAGCAGGGCCTCCCTCTGCCGCTGCTGATGGAAGTAACGTTTCTCTTCTCTTGTAGTGGGGAAAACCTCGCTCATCACCAGGTTTATGTATGACAGTTTCGACAATACTTACCAGGTATGTGGTAGCCTTTCTTGAAAAAAAAATGAGGAGGCAAATCTACTCCCACCATTAAAATACATGCATTTAATCCCTAGGGCAAACACATTTCTCTGAGATGTCAATTCAGCATCACATGTGAGGTTGTAACGTGCCTTGCAATGGAAACGAGACTTTGTGATTAGGCCCAAGCATCTAGTATGATGTGAGGATGCACAGTGTCTCTACACTGAAAAGAACATGACTGAGGTGCTTGTGTGCATATGTGAGAATGTTGAGTAGAAAGGGTTAAAAAAAAAGTTAGTTTCTGAGATTGGATCACAAGGAAATGGTCCAGACGAGATGGATCCAGCAGTGTCAGGAAACACAGCCATAGATGAATTGTGTTCATGTCCTCCTAGCTCTCTAAAGTCTTTATAGAGTTTTTCCATTTATATAGTATAGTCAGTCCAGGATGCGTAGATAAATAGATAAGATGTCCATATAGATTTTGTTTCTTTTGTTACCTAAAATGCCATAGATAGGGAATAAAGCCAGGGAAATTCTGAGGATGAGTAGGGTAGGGCTGAGGAACCTTCAGGTTAAAAGCTAAAGATGTGTGAGAGGGCTGAATACAGGATTAGGATAATCCCAGAGTCCGAGTATTTCATGAAGAGCTAGTTGCATTGAGAGTATTGGATATTTCAAGAAAATAAGTGGTAGCTTCATAACAAACGAGGGCCAGGAAGATGAGACTATGGTTTTCACTGTTAATTCAAGCCAGAAAGAGTTACTGGTTTTAAACTGTAATAATTTTAAGCTGCAAATAGAAAAGGGAAGATAAGATGGGTGTCTAGAGGGTAAGTTGTTCAGTGAAACTGGGTCCTCTTCTGCTTTTTGACTTCTTTAAGGTGCTCTTGTGTTTTTCTGTAGTTGTTGCAGCTGTCGTAAATTGTGTCCTAACTGCAGAAAATAGGACTCCTCAAAATTAGTACTAGCTGCAGAAATTGAGTGTTGTGATCTCCTCTCATCTTAAGAGGTTTGTGTTCTGATGGAGGCCTTCCAGAGCAGTGTATATGCCGTCTGTTTGTTGCATAATACTAAATATATAAGGCCCTTAAAATACTACACTTAAATCTGTTACATCAGTATCCTGTCTGCTTTCCCTGAGTTATAATGGACTAGGACACCTGCTTAGCTTAAGTGCCAGGGAAATGCTTAATATGTCTTCACTTAGTGAATTCCTCCAAATGTCTCTGCACCAGAACTGCGTTACAGCGATGGGAATGTGGATGGGAGGAGACTTGGAAGAGCTGTTAGGGAAATGAAACCTCTGAATCTCACTGAAGGGAAAGAGGGTTCTCAAAACAGACCTCACGTCTTAGGTTTCAGCACAGTCACCCACAATTTATGCGTGTGATTTCTCAGCAGTATTTGAAATAATGTTTGCTCTGCCTTTTGGTTGTTTCTAATAGAATTCTTACTAGACTGAATCGCTGCAGATGGGAGGGAGATGCCAGTTCTGATATGATCTCTGCTAAGATGCATGAATGTTTGAGAGGTAGAACGAGAAACTCAAGGGATCTTCTGCAGCTGAGAAGTATTTGAAGAGTGAGCTCAAGATGGGGCAGATACCCATGCTGCTCATTTCTTTATTAACTATATTGAAGCAAAATGACTCGAAGAGCTTAATTGTGAGCTTTTGACCGTTTTTTTGAGACACTGCATAGAACAATCTGTCTTGCAGAGATGGAAGGCAAGTTGCTGTTACTGATGCTTTTTTTTTTTGCTTTTCAGGCAACCATTGGAATTGATTTCCTGTCAAAAACCATGTATCTTGAAGATCGCACGGTAAGCGAGGCGTCCACGCCRGGATGGCGTGGCAGTGCCGCCCCAGCTGCGCCTGCCCGTGCGCTGGCTGCGCCCCCGCTGCTGCTCGAGTCCCCCCGCAGCCCTCGGGGGGACAGCCCTTGAGACAGTGGCCTGCTCGCCTAATTCTTGCTCCTTGAATGCTTTTCTTGTGTTTGAATCAAGCTGTTGACCCAGTCCCTTTTTTTTCCTGATACTTAGTAATTTTTGTTGCATCAAGACTGTAGTCAAAACCCTTCATGCAAAGTTGGGGAGTGGGCTGTCTGCTCTGTGTTCCAGAGATGTAGTTTGCTCGTAGGATTTGCAGCTCTGCCTCTGGAGTTGTCAGTGTAAGTGGGTGCGAATAGGCCCAAGGTAGTTCTGAGTTCTGAAATCATTCAGGTTTACCAGTGGTGGCAGAGCAACTCCTTGTTAAAAAAAGCATGCGATAACTTAATTCTGGCTTACTGTAAAGCAATTTTGGATTTAGTTTTCATGAGAATCCTCTTTGCTTAGAGGCTCCTCACATCCCTTTCCTCTGTTTTTCATTATTTGCCTTTTCATTAGTTCATTTTCAGTAGTAATTGCCTCWTTGCTAGTTTTAGTGTTGGCCGAGGATGGACCTGTTTGGGGGTCAGAGGTGTGGTACAAGTTTTGTGTTGCTTCAGAAGAACTCTCAGCCCAGTGAGTACAGTGGCTTTTCCCATTGCTTCTCTGCCATCTTACAGTGATTCCCTGTTAAGAAAATTGCTTAGACTTTGAATGGAAGAAACGACTTTGATAATGTTCTCCAACTGCACTAGCAGTAGTAGAAGGGGAAAAAAAATCTTGGGAATGCTGCTTGACACCTCTGAAGGCAAACTGGAATACCTGTATATTCTTTGCAATAGTCCTTAATTCTCAAGGGTAGTCTTGACCTTTTGTGGTTTTTTGTCATCTACTGACTTGCTATCCAGAAAATACCCTTCTTTCAAATGCTTGCCATGCTGTTGGCCCTTAAACAGCCTGTCCTTCTATAACRGAAGTCCTGAATATAGATGAAGGAAAAATACCAGCAGAGAAGCTAAGAAAATTCAGATACTAAAGTAATCTCTCAGATAAGGTTAGTGCTGTTATTTTATAGTAGGCTTTGACTGTCAGGCTTGAAATGAAGCAATGCTTGAATAAATCCGTAACTGCAACGTATGCTTTGGCACGACTGATGTATGTCTCCCTTAAAATACACCTATGCAGATCGTTTGCTTTCAATACATCTTGAGTAGCCCATATTAGGCATCAGAAGCAACCAAAATATGTGAAATTCTTCAAAATTAGCTCTGGGTAGACTCCCATGCCCTGCTGTTGTGTCAGCTACAGCATTTTTGCTAGTACTGTGGGAGCTCTGGCACTGAGTGAATTCGTGCCKTGAGAAGCCCCATCCTCACTCCCTGACACTTGTGTTTCAGCTACAGCCTCACTTATGAAAGGCTGCATAGTGCTTTCCTGTCTGTGGTGAGGTACCTTCTTAGACTTGCTGGGCTTAAGTACAAGATAAGCCTATCTAGAGGATTTCTGCTGTCCTGGCTTGTACCTCGCTGTTATGTTTCAGCACTTCACATCAGGCTTTCCAGTGGATTAATTAGTAGCTGAGTGATCTAGTCCTTACAATTAGGTGTGATCACAGTCTGCTTGTATAATCATTGTAGCTAGAATCCTGACATGGCAGGGTGCACTGAGGTACGTATACTTGTTTCCATCAGTGGATGGTGCTAGGAGATATGTTAGGAATATTTTGCTTTCCTTTCAAAAAGGAGTAGCTTTGTGTGCACGAGCTGGATGAATGGGCTTGTGGAGGGAGGGAGGCTTCTCTGACATGTTAGGCCAATGCTGCCACAAGGTTGGGGCTAGAAGTGTCGTTGGCTCTTTTCATACTTTTATTCCATTTTAGCTTTCCTTTTGTTGGGTTATTTTTGCGTTGCAATTTTTTTTCTTTTTATTTCACTTGAGTTTTGGTTTTGTTCTCCATTTTCCTGCTCTTTCCCTTCCCTCCTCCCCTGCACTTTTCCGTTTCCCAGATCAGGCTGCAGCTGTGGGATACAGCCGGCCAGGAGAGGTTCCGCAGCCTCATTCCCAGCTACATCCGTGACTCTGCTGTGGCTGTCATTGTCTTTGACATTACAAGTAGGTATTGAGCCTGAGTGTTGGCAGAGGCCTTGCTGTTAACATGTGCCTTTTATACGCTGCAAGTGGTGGTGTTTTCAGAAGAGGCTGCTTTCTGAAGGGAGCTAAGACAGGCCCTCTGCCCCAGGACTGTAGGGATTTCATGGATGGATCTGCTTTTACTGAGGGGAAGTAGCTGAGCATCTTACCCACACCCAATAGTGACTGCATTTGATGATATACAAACTGGGGAATCTCAAAGCTCAAACTGGAAGTGGCATGCAGAGGATTGCCAGGTAGGTAAATGGGGTTTATATCTTGTATGTCCTTGGTGATGTGTTTTATATATTTATTTTAACTTTGAAATGAAAATTTGCTGTTCTGGATGACTAGAGAGTTAATAAAAGTAGCAACAGCAGATGCTAAAGCAATGAAACGTTATCATACTGTATAAAACAGCACAGTATCTATTTAAATAAAAACTAGCTGGAAATTTGTGAGGATTCAGAACTTCCCTTTCACTGGAGATGAGAGCTTACTGTTCATACAAGCCACCAGAGAACTTCTGAAATAGAAGGGACAAATTTATAATTACCATAAGATCTAAAGAATGAACAAACTTGGATGCCTCTTCTGCAACTCTTGACTGGAGAGTTTAAGTATAAAATAGGATATGAAAATTATTTCATTATAAGTTCTTGTTATTGATTCCGCTCAATCTCTTTTCTTTAGATAAGCTACAGTGTCAGTGTGGATTTGCATGCAGGATTTATATCAGGATTTATATCTAAGTAAATAGCATGGCACAGATGAAAAACCTCTGGCCCACTTTTATTTTGCCACAAGTTCTAGATTATAGTGGGTCTTTACAGATCTGGGTTTTACTGCACTTTGATAAACAGAAATGCTTAACAGGTAATTGTGAAATTCTGTTACGTTTTTCTTAGGCAGTAAAGGCAAATAATTCAGTGGTTTAGTCCTGTAGCTTAAGAATTTGTCTTGGGAAGGAGTTCTGACTCGGAGCAAAATGAAAATATAAAACTGGTCTGTTTGGGAATTGAGGAGCAACAAGATGTGCACATGATTTATTTTGCGAACAGATCTAGATGAGACAGAGTGTCCAGCAACAAGAGTTGGTGCTTTTTTTGTCCCTCTGTCAGGACAGGTAAAGGATGCTGTTTACCCAGACAAGTTGAAAAATCCATCAGTCTGGGCTGTTCTTTAAGTTTTCAGACCTATCAGAAATGATTTAGGGATGGCTGATCTCATCATGCCTTGAAATTATCTGAAAAGATCAGACTGTTAATGCATTTCTTATTACTACTCTTTTGTCTCCTCTTAGCCAGTGAGAGGCTTTTAAATCTCACAACATGCTCATGGATTTAGTTTTCTATACCATTAGAAAGGCCTATRTTCATCGACTTTCAGTACTTGGCTCTTGATTGAAGACCTTCAGCTTACTGGACTAGAGCTGTTCTTAGCAAGGTATCTGGTTTGTGAGGGTTGTATTTTTCTCTCCAAAAAATGCCTGTGCAACAGCTCTGACTTCTGGAAAACAGAGGCTAAAGGAGCATTGCAGCTGACTCCCGTTCCTGGGTCTCTTCAAGGTGCCTTTATAGTACCTCCAGAATAGATTTCCCTTGACCCTTCACTACCAGATCATCAGCTTTTTTTCCAGGTCTGTAATATTTGCATTAGTTGCAATTTTGATCATGCACATGAAGCTTGGAGCATTTAAACTTCAAGCTTGGTAAACTCTGTGGGAGGAGAATAGGCTGATCTGATCTGCCGGCACTGGTGTAGTATTGTCCACATGCTAGGAGTTCATTCCTGGGATTCTGGAGAATCTGGAGATTCTGGAGCTTTTCCATGGGATTCTGAAGAGCCCTCCTTGCTAATGTAATCAAGGTTGTCTCCAAAATGAAGAGAACAATTCATAGGAACTAACTGCTGCAGCTATAAGCGCTAACTGTACTGAACGTTGGTGGCAGCAGCAGTGCGGATATTTGGATGTAGGTACCTGTTTTGAATGTGTTTGTAGCAAGATGCTTTGCAGACATGTGCTCTGCCCAGCTCCTGTTCAGATTGCTCTTCCAAGCAAAATAAATATTGGTCCTTCTTAAACAACTTTCCCTTATACAGCAGTCTCCTGCAAGCTCCCATTTTAACAGATGCTCTAAATATAAAAAGCTGCTCTCCCTCATGGCTGAGTGATTAGCTTTGTGAGAACTTCTTACTTAATTCATATAATCCAGACGGATTATTTTGGGAGCAAATATCCACYCTTGTATGAAACTTGTGGCCACTCRCAATGTTAATAGCAATCTTGCTTTCTGACTGTAGCGCTAGTGCAGCCAGCTGTGTGGAATGACCACTTGGATGAAAATGGCATCGATCCCAATTACTCATTGTTAAAAGCTTTTGTTTAGCATTTGTTGTGGTAACTGGGTGTTTCTCAACCATTTCTGTTTCAAATAACAAGTTCCAGCATTGTGTGGATATAATAGTTGTTATTACTTTAGTGTATGCGCAAGATGTGGGTTAGAAGATATGTGAAAGAAGAGAAATAAACCTTCAGACTTTAGAGCTGTCATATAATAGCTCAGTCTGTATTTTGGGCACAGCTCTGGTGCTGGAGATCAAATTGCATCTCTCTCATACAGATTTTGAAGCTTGTTTCTGATTCTTGCCCTCATCTGGAAGGGGGCACCAGTGCCCTTTGTGTCTCGTGGGGCCCTTGGTTTGCAGCATTAGCTTTTGTTTGCCACAGCYTAAGTTATTGATCGCCTTAATCTGGTGTGAAAGTCCCCATTACCACCTTCTGGATGCTCTTTTGCCACTTGGTGTCTGTGCTGAGGAACCTGCATGTCTGTCCCATGGGAATTGCCCTTAGAGCTTTGACCTGAGCCTGCAGGTTGGGAGTGCTTTGGGGGACCAGGCCTAGTCCCGGCTGAGGAGAGAGCAGCTCCACATTGCTCGTTAGCCAGCACTAGCAGCGCTAATTGGGGTGTAGCCACACTGTAGAGCTCTTAGGGATGAGCTGACTGGGGGAATAGCAGGTTCTCTAGGCAACAAAGGAGGTAATGAAAATGCGTTTTCTATAAACTGGCGAGCAGCAAAGCCAGCTCGTGTGCATCTTGGATGTTGGGAGCTAGTTAACAAGGACAGTCTCAGCTTCTCAGGTTGAGCTGCATGCAGTGAATTCTAGAAATGGCCTTTTCTCTAAAGGACAGTTTCCTCCTTTCTTTTCTCTCTCGCTGTCTCTCTGYTCTCCCTGGCCTGGTACCAGCAGGTTCGGCTGCAGCTTTGGGACACAGCAGGCCAGGAGCGGTTCCGCAGTCTCATTCCCAGCTACATCCGCGACTCCACCATTGCTGTGGTAGTCTATGACATTACAAGTGAGTGATGCTTTGGTGTCTCATTATTTTCAAGTACTACATGTAAACAGAACTGGTATATCACGGCCAGAAGTTCTGCAATAATTAACATTAGAAACAGTTTGTTTTTTTTCTTCCTTTCTTCCCTTTTTTTTCTCTCTGGGTAGATGTGTAGGTTGTTTTATATGGTGTGGGAAGACTCGGAGAAACACGGGGGTTAGAGGCATGGCCGCTTTCATAAGCATTCTTCCTCACTTATAAGAAACTTTATCCTCAACATTCTCAATTTATTTTGCCCCTRCAGATTTGAATTCTTTCCAGCAAACCTCCAAGTGGATTGATGATGTTCGAACAGAGAGAGGAAGCGATGTCATCATCATGCTGGTGGGGAATAAGACTGATCTGGCAGACAAGAGGTAACGATGGGGAGCTGCTGCTCCTTTTGCTGTCACCAGTAGAAGTGGGGAACTGGCCAACTTGTCTGTCTTCAAAAGAAAGAAGTATAAATAGCTTGTAATGGTATTTGGATTTCTGATGTCAGAATATGCAAAATTATTCTGTTATTCTACAAATAGTTTATGATATAACAAGTCCTTTTTCTTCTAACACTTGGAATGATACTTAAATATCTCTCTGTGCCATCTTTCTCATAGAGTACCTCTTTTTATTTTCCTTTTTGAGCTGAGATAAAGCCAGAAAGATATCTTTACAAGCAGTGCCTTTTTTTCCGTGGTCATATTTACATGACTTTTTCTGCATCTGCAAATCTAAAATATTATAGTAAAGTTTTTTCTTAAAGTTTTTATAAAATACAACATGACAATGTAGTAGTATGCATCTAGAAGGTTTCCATCTGTGCATAAATTTCTTATTCCATGTAGCATAAATCGATACAATGAAGTGTGAGGGGAAGCTAGATTAGTGATTTCCCCAAGAGATGGGAGAAGTGAATTAAATTCTTAAAGCCACAGAGATTCACTGTCTTGAGATGTCAGAGCATTTCAGTTTTAAAACTCTCAGTCGTGCAGACTGAGAAAGTCTTCATTTTAGTGAATAGCTTCAGTAACAGTTGGCAAAGGAATGATGAGAATTCATTCAAAGGAATGATGAGAATAATTCACACAATTCCTTACAGCCCTTTGAACTGAATCATTTCAGATATGCTGGTTATTCTGGCATGGAAACYGTATGGTTTAATCTGTAGAACATAGGAAGCATTGAAGTAGTGAGAATTTTTTAACTGTCACAAAAGAAATCATGTAAAAAAGGCAGAAATGGGAAACACCTGGATCTCACAGTTAAGTACTTTTAGAAAATCAAAAGCGTAACCTTTGGCAGTTTATGACACGCTTCTGATTGAAAGACAGTCTGAAAAGTCTTACAGATGGAAATTAAAAGCGTTATCAAAAACTGCACTGATACCCGAGTGGCCAGCTTGTTTCTTGGCACGATGGGCCTAATAAGGATCTGCATGTTTCTTTACAGGTGCTGTCACCTTTTACATTCTAAACCTTATTTTACTGCTTTAAAATGTGCTCTCATCRTTTTTCCGCTGTGGTTTTGGTGTTGATCAAGTGAGAGAGGATATCCAGCATCTTGGGCTGCCCAAATTAGTACCACTGTTCTTCCTCCTTTGTCTCAGTACAAGCCACACTGTTAGCTTGTAGTTTGCTTTGTCTAGCAGGAAGAGGATAGGTTCTATTCCTGGTATGTGGTTTGAGAAAGGGGAAAACGAAATTAGATATTGAGTGTAGTCTTTGTGCTGCCGATCCTTGCGGAAATGGGTTTGTCTACCAGCTGGACCACTTCAGTATTGACAACTATTTGGCTTTCCCTGACTCTAAGTATCCTGTGAAAAGCACTTGAGAATTTTKGGGAAAATGTAGTTTTTAGAGCTTCCTAAGTAGGTAAAGGTGTATAGATGACTTGGATAAAGAAACCCAGTTGGTAAAAATTCAGAGCAGCCTGGTCACTGCTCAAAATCAGTTTATAAAATCATCTGAGCAGAATCTGAGAAGTTGTTCTACTGAAGTCAGCTCAGTTAGCATCTCTTATGCCCTCCTGGGAGCAGGGAATAACTACAGCTTCCAGAGTGGCCTGGAGATTAGATTTGAGGCTTTATAATAATTAAAAAAAAAAAAATTAAATTTAAAAAAAAAAGGGGGGGAAAGAAAGATAGTTGCTGCCTTAGATTGGAGAGGTGCAGGATGGTTTGTCTGGTGTTGCCATAAGAATAAGGCAACTAAAGACTTGTTGGTATCATAGTTAAATACACTTGTTTGCATCACAGTTGGCAGCAGGCCTTCCTTTTGTATTAATGTAAGTGACAGCAGTCCTGGACTAGCCTAGAATTTAGGACGCATATTCACCTCCRGTGGTCTGCACAGGCTCTCGCTAAAGGAAGCCTCCTTGTCTTTCCTGTGGATTGTTGCTTTTGAAAGAGATTCATAACAAGCTGAATACAGGGTCTTTTAAGACTGGACCAGACTATGCACCAGTCACGAGACTGATTGTGTTTTCTGAAATTTAGTAGAGTCCACAAGAAACCATTCGTACTGCGGTAAAGACCAAGTGATGGTGAAAGTTAAGTTCTGTCAAACATGGTTGAAAAGTTTAACTGGTAATAGCACTGCTTTTATTTGGCAGGCCCGGTTAAGTCTAGCTTTCCTGCTAATATTACTTCAGTTGGTCGCAGTTTTTTCTACTTTTTTTTTTTTTTTTTTGCCATTTTTGGACTCTTTTTCTTTGCTTTGGTTTTTCTTTTCTGTGATTTGTTCTCATTACTATAGACAGGTTTCTATAGAGGAGGGTGAGAGAAAAGCCCAAGAACTGAATATGATGTATATTGAACGCAGTGCTAAAGCAGGATATAATGTGACACAGGTATGTACAGGGTGCTGAGGAGCGGCGCATTCGCAGGTGCTTTCCCGCAAGCAGCAGCAGAGCACTTGCTCTTGCACTGCTCTTGCTGCTGGAGCCTTTCTGACGTCTCTCTATAATCTCACGGAGTTCCCTCCTCTTGACTTTTGGGAAACTGCTTTTTGCATCAGGTGCAGCTAATGGGGATTCGTCTTTTCTCTTGAGGGTGCTGTGAATGAGACTCAAATGTTCTACGCAAGCTTCATCCTGTGCTGATGATCCTTTCATTAATGGGCATGATAGAGGTTTTTCCTGAACTACTAACCTGAGATTGTTTCCTTCCTTCCCGGGATCTAATGAGGAATTTGGGGGCCTTAAAGATCCTGACGTCCCTGTTTGTACATTGTAGGCTCTTGTAACGGGTGGTGAAGAGGCCCTGTGTTTGAAAAATGTCTCGGACACAACTGTCTCTAATTGTTCCTGTCCCTCTTTTCTGTCTTTTTGCTTCTGTTTGCTCCTTTGTTCAGGCAAATCACTACAGAAGAAGGTGAACAAAGAGCCAAAGAGCTGAATGTGATGTTTATTGAGACCAGTGCGAAGACTGGATACAATGTGAAACAGGTAGATCTATGTTATGTTTTAAAGATCAGTAAATCTGTACTTCACTGAGCTGTAGCGAGGAGGAGTAAGTTTCTGCTTACAGTTCATGCTCCAGCAGATATATTTACCTGTTGCCTGTCTCAGGTCTTGAAATSCTCCTTGCCTAATGACCAGTGCTTGCAGCTAAAGCTAAGCAAACTTCTCTACCTTGAAAGGAAGGAGAATCTAAAAATGGAATTTGCTGAGGGACAGGAATGTCACTATCTAGTGCAGCATGTCAAAGATAATTCTGTATATTCCCTTTGCTTTTGTGTACAGTTAATGCAGTGTTCTCTAAAATGAGTGTTGACGGCAGTCAGRCTGATAGTGTGTACCGATGCACCACAGTAGAAATTCCTGATTCCGTTTTCAAGCCTGGTAGGAAAAACACAGAGCCATAGAATAGCTGGGGTTTTCTGTTCTCCRTTTCTACTTCTGCCCATTGCTTCTTGCTGTGAGCTTGGGTTCCCCGCCTTCCTTTTCAGTTCAGGAAACTTTATTCTGAAGCATGACAYAACTTGGGCAATAAGGCAGCTGTAGGACTCAGTCATTCGCAGGGAGCTTAACTACTGCGGGTGTCAGGAAGTCACCCAGCTGGGATATGAACTGAACAGTTGCAGCCCACCAGCGGGTTCAAAGGCCAGCACAGTGGCCTTAGGGGGTTATTTCTGTAGGGGAGAGGGAGTGGTTTTAAACTCGTATGGAGATAATTGGATTTAGTTTTTGATTCTAGCTTACCTGCATGCCAAATAAAACAATGTTAGTAGTGAGAACTTCTGWGACTGAAGGAGTTGAGAGAAAACATTAACTGCAGAGCCTTGCTGGTACCTCAGTGGTTTGATTTTTCCCTGTAATACAGTTTCTAAAGGTAGATGATAAGCCCTTGCCAAAGTACTTTGAGAAAGAGCGTCACCGTCTGGCTCTAATCAAGTTCCTTCCTCTAGTTTTCCAAGTGAAAAATACAGTTTTCTACAGTTCTGTCTACCACAYATTCCTGGCATTATCCAATTTGTGTTTGCTGCTGTTTTAGTGTCAGCAGGAGGAGCTCTAGGCATCATCTTGAAAAATTGCACAAAAGCACTGTCTGTTTCATATGGGGATAGGCTAGTCCTTCCCAGCTCCAGCAAATCATTCTTAGCTTAGATGCAGCCCCCTTGAGCCAGTCATTCTGCTTATAGGTGACATAAGCAATATCTTATATACTATAAACAATAAGCAATATAAGACATAAGCAATGTCTTATAAGCAATGCAGTCTTTCTAACAAGCTTTCCACTTGTTGCTTTTCAGCTTTTCCGTCGTGTGGCTGCTGCCTTACCTGGCATGGACAGCACACCAGAGAAGAGCAAAGAAGACAGTATCCTTGCTTTCTTTTCAGTAACTTTCCTCTCCTTGTAGGATTTGGCAATTACCTTTTTGTCAGGTTGGACTTGCCACCTTTTTGGTACACTGTGTTTATTGGTGTTCTGGGGTTTTGCAGACACRTGGCTGGGATGGCTGGTAAAGTGTGGTTACCTGTGCACACGGATTAAGACCCTACTTGCAATTTGTAACTGCAAGGGCAAGTTTTGCTTTCTCCCCTTAATCTTGTCTGTTTAAGGACAAAATTTGCATAGTTTCAGAATGCTTTAGAATTTGCCTCTTTTTATACTGCTACAAGGTAGCCCTGTTTGCTCTCCTGACATATCCAATCCACTGCTTTTACTAATCATCCTGTCCAGACAAGGTACGTGCTGCTCTTGCTAGAGCATCTGTACTTAACCGGGAACGGAGAGCTGCCAAGTTTTCAGAATGGTAGGAGAAAAGTTACTGCAGTGCTTTTAACTTATCAGTCTGTTCAGCTCAGTTTTGTTTTGCTTTTTAAACTATTTTCATACCAACTCTAAACAGGCTAAGAAGCCAGATCCATGACTTCTGAGGGTAGTCATCTTCACAAGACAGGCTGTCGCTGAAACCACTGAATACTCTGCAGTGTTTCGCATGCTGCATGCACCTAGTCACAGAGCGTGCGGGTGACTGTGACAGCAATTTGCCATATTTTGCCTGTTTAAAAGGCTAGATGAATTCCATAGCATCCATATTTACCAAACAGCTCGTTCTAAATTAACAATTGGCAAAATATGCCAGGCTGAGAGCTGGAGCAGGAGGAGCAGGTGCTGTTTGAGGCAGTTCAGCCAGTATCGGAAATGGCAAGTATAATTGATYCCTCAGTTCTGCCTCTCCCTTAAACACATTGCTGCTGTTGCCCCTTCCATATGTTAGGGCCARCAGCATCAAGGCTGTGTTTAAGGTCATGTTTGGATTGCATGTAAGGGTCTGTACCCTTTTTAATTGGAAGCCTGGCTTCTTGTTTTGTGAAGCCTGGTCTTCCCGTGGCACCAGAGGAGGCCAAGGCAATCAGTTTCCCTAGTCTCTACTCACCCTCTCTTGAAGCCGGTGACTTCCTTAACTCGTCTCCTCCAGTGATTGACATCAAACTAGAGAAACCTCCTGAGCAGCCAGTAACGGAGAGCGGCTGCTCCTGCTAACAGCCCGTTGTGTAGCAGCACATTCCCCACCCGGCCAGTCTCACGGAAGAACATCACTGCTCATTGCCTAGGCAAACCTACTTCGTGGGCTGAAAACAACCTACTAAGCGAGTGAACTCCCTCTTTACTGGTGGGGAGCAGCCCCGGCCGCCCTTCTTACTGCATGGTATGAGCCCCGAGTGCAGAATGAGTGTCCTGTCTTTCAGTTTTATTTTTTATGTTGTTGCACTTTGGCACTGTAGTGCCCTTTACACACACTCACTCTATTTCTCTCTCCACTTTGAGTCTCTCTGCTCAGATAGATCTCTTTTTTGTGAATGCAATGAAAAAGCCACCAAGTAAGGGAAAACAAAAGCAAATTTTGGGGGTGGGCTTTCCCCCTTCCTCTTAACTCCTTCCCCGTCCACTCCAGCAGTCTCATTCTGCCCTACATTCCTACTTCCTCTTTTTAACGGCTACTCCTTTTACCTCGTCACGGTCTGACTTGGCCTCGCCTTTTCTTTGGCGGCGCAGGTGATCTGTTCCTAGGCTTTGCTTCCTGCAGGGCACACACGGCAGTAGTCGCCGCTCAGTTTCTCCTCCCTGCGGATGGCCTTGGCTAACTCGTGCTCACCTTTGAAGGTTTGCCCTAYGCTCAGCCCCTCATGTGACACAAAACACTAGAAGCTCCCCCATCTCCCCTGGCTTGGGCCTGGTTGCTCCCATTCCTGTGGCAGACACATCCCRCAGATCGCTCCCTTCACCTGGAATTTCTTCCCATCTTCCTGAGGATGTTGGTGCATTGGCTGCGTGGTGGGAGGAAAGGGTGCAGAGGCAGTGTGAGGTTGAGTGGGAAGAGATCCATAGGGCAGTCCTGTCTGTTGGCAGCAAACAGCCCCCTGGAAATCCTCGCTACAGCGGCAGTATCTGCCCTGGGCATCACTGGTGCTGTTGGGGCTCCCGTCCTGTCTTCTGTTGCTCCTCCCGGAGGCTGGGAGCTTCTTGAGCTGCCGCAGATGGAGYGTTGGTGAGGGCCGGCTGCTTCCTCATCCAGGTGGCTGCTCAGTGAGATCCTGCCCTGCATCCAGCTCCTSGCCCCTCCTAGCAGGCCGTGGGGCAGGGGAGGGGGTGTAGCAGCCGTTTCACTGCTGAAAACCTGTCAGAGCTGAAATGAGGAGTAGTGTGGATGCATTGCCAGACCTGGCGGTAGAGGAATGTGCTCTGCTGACGGGGTTGTGGAGTCATTTCTCAACCTCCAGCTTTCAGGAATATTTTCATTTGCCCCCTGCTCTGTACCCCTAGTTTCCAGCTACTTTAATAGAGCTCTTCAGGACCCGTAGTGAGATCCTCTTGTCCGTCCAGCCCCCCCAGAAGTCAGCAGGTTTCTCCACGGCCAGGGCGAACACGAGCAGGCGGCTCTAAGCCGCCCGCGGGCCCGGCCTGTGCCAAGGCGCCCGGGGAGCTCCCTGCACGAGCAGGGCGCAGCAGGGAACGGCAGCCTTGGGAGGCTGACGCCAGCCCGGTTCAACGCCCCGCCGCTCACCGGCCTGCTGCCCTTGGGAGCCGCAGAGCTCRTGTCACGGGGAGGGAGCCGCCAACGCAGCGCCCGCCACCGCGGCGTCCGCCCGCGCTCGTGTCTGCCCTCCCCGGGATGTGTCCCCCCCGGCCCCCGAGCGTCCCCTGCCCGCGCCCTGCGCCGGGGCCGCTCGGCGCCCTCCCCTGTACATAGCCCTTGGTGTGGGAAGTGCTGCTGTCCTGTCGCTGTGTGCGTGTCCGCCCGGGGCGGCTGTTGCTGTCCCCTCCTCACAGGCAGGTGGGCCCTGCCGCTGCTGTCGTGTTGTTCTGAGTCGCTGGACTGCGGGGGGACGGGCCGGGACGGGCGGGAGGGAGAGGGGGGGTCCGTCGGTGGCGGGGGGGAGGGGGGTAACTAGCGGTATGAAATAGTTCACGTCCCGCTGTCTTCTCTGTGGGTGTGTACAGTAGTGTGTGTCTCTGGCCCCGCTGTCTCTAGCTGTTAGCCGAGTAAGTGTGACTATTACTATGACTATGGACTGTCCCACCACAGCTGTGTATCACACGAAATAAAGTTATTTCACCAAGGGCTGCTCTGTGCTGCGCTGCCGCGCGGGTCGGGCCGGGCCGGGGCCGGGGTTGGCGCTGGGTGCCCTGTTCCCTCGCCTGCCCCTGCGGAAAGGRGCGAGCCGGGGGAGCGGCCGCCCCGCTCCCGCTTCCCGAGCGAGCCCGGCCCTGCGGCGGGGCTGTGGCGGCCCCGGGCGCTCCCCCCGCGCCGCTCTGCGCCCCGCTGGCGCTTTGAAACCCACCAATCAGCGCGCGGTCCCCCTTCCGGGGCCCCAATGGCGTGCGCCCACCCGAGGCGCTTCGGCCAATGGGCGCGCGGCGCCGCCCC